TGCTGGGGTGGAATGTGGCAGCTGTGGGGTGTAGGAAGAAACCAAGAGTCTAAGGGCCTCAGAGCCATTCACTTTTTCCACATACCTACCACATGCAATGGGCCAGCCAGAGTCCCAGAGCCTACAGCGAGGTGGAGAGGGACAGAGGGCCTCACAGGCTTGAGGGCAGAGGCGCATTGAAAGGATTTGGTTTTGTTTGCTTTGGGAAGCTTGTTGGAGTTTTGTTTTGTTGTAGGGCCAGCAAGGGGGCTCGGCTGATAAAGGTGCTTGCTGCCAACCTGGATGAGCTGAGTTCGATCCTCAGGACCGACATGGTAGAAGGAGAGAACCAACTTGTGCTGGGGGGGGGGGGTCCTCTGACCACCACACACATGACAAGGCACCCCACAAGCTCTGTAACACGTATACACACAAAATAATCACAAATGTAACAGAGCCGTGATTGTTCAGATTGAGGCAAAACAGACAGGCATAAAACTGACCATTTGTTACTAGTTTGAAATGTATATAGCTCATTATCAGGAACATTCTCGACAGGCAATCATCGCCCTCAGCCCTCTCTGTGTAGACTTGGCTGTCCTGGACTGGCTTTGCAGTCCAGGCTGGCCTCGAACTCACAGCAGATCAGTCTGCCTCTGCCTCTCTGGGTGCTGAGATTACAGGCATGCACCACCTCGACAGGCTATTTGAGGTTTCTTTTTATTTATGTGTGTGTTTGTGTGAACATAGAAATGTGTGTGCAGTACCTGTGGAGGCCAGAGGGGGCGTCAGATTCCCCTATAGCTGGAGTTTCAGAGGGTTCTTAGCTGGGAACCAAGTCGGGTCCCCTGAGAGAGCAGCAAATGCTCTTAACCCTGATCCGGCCGTGTGGCCCCTGTACCGCCTGGGCTTGGTGCCCCCTGCCCTTGCATGGTCTTACTGTTTTCTCTTCTCCCCGTGCCATCATTTCTAAGGAGAACTATCTGAACAACGGAGATGCTAAACGCCGGAACTGCTGATTACGGAATAAATAAGCAGCGAGCTCTGTCTGCCCCAGTCCCTGCCTCACTCATCTCTTCCTGTCGCTTCTCACAGCCCAGCCCAGCCGACGGTCTCCAGATGACATTGAAGCGTGGCCCAAGGGCTCCCTAATCGTGTTCTTTAATTAAGAGTAGGATGATGCTCATGGCGGGGAGACGGCATGTGGGACTGAAGAGTGCTAGCAGACTGGCCTAGGAGATGAGAGTCGATTGCATCTCAAGGACACTCCAGCTTGAGAACAAAAAGGATACGACCTGAATAACAACGACCAAGCCCGAGGCACCCCCTCCCTCACCATGAGAACCTTCTGCGAGCCTGCGGGAGCCCTCTTAGGTGATCTTTGTTTGAGGGGCAGCCTTTCCCTTCCCATCTTCCGGGGCACCCACCTTGGATTAAGCTGGATGCCCCCCCCCCCCCCCCCCGACGTCAGAGATATGCGTTGCATGAGCACTGGGCAGTGGAGAAAGGGAAGGATGCCAAGAAGCCTGAGTCAGGGCCCCGAGGTGGGAAGGAATCAGAAAGTGATGGTTAGTGGCCGGAGACCACAGCTCCAGCTGCCGCCTGGAGCTTTTTAGGTCTGGCCTCCCTTGCCACGGCCACCACACTTCACCTGTGGCTGCTGAGAATATATCTGCCCCTCTGTGGCCACACCTCCAGCATCCACAGAAGCCCGGTGACAGGAAGTTAGGAGGGAGCTATGCCAAACTATAGGGGTGCTGCTGCTAACCTTCTGATTTCCCTGAGCTTCCTGGCAGCTGAGGCAAAAAGGGAAACAGAGCAAGTGACTCAGAGGAGACGCACACTGGAGCCTGCCTGGGTGAGGCGGATTTTCCTGCTAGAAGAAGATTCTGGTATGGGAGGCTCTTCTCCCTTGGGTCCCAACCATCCTAGCCCAGAGATGAAAAGGCTCCAGACCACTCACGGCAGAGACACAGCTATCACAGGGTCGCCATGGGGTGTGGCTGTGGCTGTGGGCAGTCCTCTGCCCTGACCATCTTTCCTAAATCCCAACAAAGGCAAGCCAAGCCCCACCTGTGCTCAGGGCTGGACCACGTGGGAGCCCAAGGAAGGCACCGTAGAGACAGAGTCATTTTACCACTGCTCTCTCCCCCATTCCACCCCCCCCCACACACACACACAAGCTTTGATGAGACACTGCTGTGTCCCGTTTTAGAGAAAAGCATGCTGGGCCTGGAGGTTGACACAATGGCTCAGAAGCAGGGACACTGAGGCCAGAGCCCGGCAAGCCCTCAGGATTCCAGGAGCTGCGGCTGACACCATAGGTGCCTTTCCCCAAAGCCATCACCGCCTCAACCCTCCACAAACAACCTGAGGTTCATTCCTCCCAAAAGCAAGAGTTGACTGCCTACTGTCTGCAGGTCTGTCCTACTGGGAGGGGCACAGTAAGCCCAGCGCAGTCACCGGGTCACCTGAGGCATCTTCTCTCTGTCTTTTGGATGCGCAAGAGACACTTGTACAAACTACCATCCAAGCGCTGCAGCTGCCATCCTAACAACAGACCAGCGCACGGAGTTTGTTGACTCACACGCCATCACATTCCACACAAGGAGGTGTGAGGGGCCTCACCTGAGGTTCCAGCCATCCTCCCAACCACTGGTGGGTAGTCCCACCCTGACTGTATATGGCCCTGGGGTCTAGGGAGGAGCTAGATACATGGAGTGGGGGAGGTGCAGAGGGCTCCAGCTACGGGGCAGCCACCCTCCATACAGGGTGAAGACTTTCAGGGAAGTGGTCACCCTGACTCTTACAGACAGCTCTGTAGGTACACCCAAGAAACTCACTGCTCCTCCAGGGTGAACGCCAAGGGAATCATATCTTGGTTTGTCTTTGAGACTGTAAAAGAGGGGAGATGCTTCTGTCTGCCTGGAGGGAATTCTGGCATCAATTCTCATGTGCAATGGGACCCCAGGGCCCCTCCCGTGCCCGGCTGTCTTCTGCTCTTGAGGCCTAGGGCTGAGTCAGGCACCCGACTCCCCTCCTCCATAGTCCAGGCTGGGTGACATCTCCCCAACTCAAGCCCTCTGCCCCAGGGCCCTCCCTGGCATGGCTCTGGAGGGGCCCTCCTCTTGGGAACTCTGTGACACTTCATCTTTCTTCTTTCTTGAAACAGTCACATTCGTTATTGTTTGTTGTGGGAGGGATGTGTCCTCCTACATGAGAAGGTTCGGAGGACAACTCTGTGACATCAGTTCTCTCTCCACACTTTTTTTTTTTTCCTGTGGCTTCCTAGAATCAATTTCAGGTCATCGGGCTTGCACTGGACCATTTTGTGAGTCCCTGGTTATTTATTTATTTGTGTGTGTGTGTGTGTGTGTGTGTACGCACTCATACAATTGGAGGCCCAATGCCGCTTTTGGAAAGCCAGAGTGCTGCAGAGTACAGCCAGATCCACTCCATAATCCGGTTGAGGACGGGCCTCCAGGGTGCCCCCTGCTGTTGATTCACGGGGAACTGTACCACCCCTTTTGCTAGACTCTCTGGGTCAAGGACACAGGGCTGAGCTCAGACTCCAAGGGCGGAAGAGCAGACCCACCCTATTTCCTTTTTTTTTTTTTTTTTTAGTGCAGGGCCTCGGCTATACTAGACAAACTCTCTAGCCATGAGCTATGTCCCTAACCCTCTTCTTGCTTTTTGCTTGAAGACAGGTTTTTCAGTAAGCTTCCTGGAGCAGCCTTGAGTTTTTAATCCTCCTACCTCAGGCTCTCAGGAAGCCAGGATGACAGGCCTATTCCACCAGGCCAGAATGTCTGTGTCACCCAAGTAAGGAACTGCATGTGAGCTCTGTATCTTCCACACTGTCTCCCCTCCGCTCATTCACTCAGTCATTCACTCATTCATTCGTGCACTAATGAGTGAGTGAATTTATTCATTCATTATTCATCCTCACTTGAACACTCCCAATCTCCTCACATTTTGCTAGATACCAGGACACAGATGTGACCTTGCCCTCACTAAATAAATTGGAAACAGCTCAGTGAGCTAAGATGTGCCCCGAATCCCAAGGAGTGAGCATCCATCTGATGGACATTTCTCTGTGCCATCTCTCTTTCCCTATAGGATTTAAACCAACCCGCCAGCAAAGCCCTGAGCAATGAAGCAACCAGCAGTGGGGGAAAAGTTACCGCTCAGCATTTTCTAAGCACCTACTATGTTCCAAGAATCTCACACACTGCTCTTTCTACATCTCCCAGGTTGCGCGTCCTCCCTCCCTTCACAGGCGAGCAAAGTGAGACTCAGCCCAGACGCGTGACTAGCCCAAAGTCACATGAGCCCGGAGTGGAGGAGCTGAGAGTCAAACAACTGAGAGTCAAACGCTGCCCCCCCCCCCAGCGTCATGTGGAATAATTGAACAGATTTAGGGAAATTAGACACTTCGTGAGACTTGGGGTGAGGGGGATGGCATTTCTCTGAAGGGAAGCAAAACCCTGCCTGCTACTGAATGAAGTTGTCTTTTCTCAGGTGAGAATTGATGAAGGGGAGTTCAGAGAGGGCCGAAGAAGCTGGAAAATCCTTTGTCTTGTATATAAGGAGGTTGCTGGGCAAAGGCCTCCACACCTCTTAGAGAAGGTCTTCAGGCCTTCTTCCCCACTGGCTGAGTGTGTGTGGGGTGTGTGTGTGTGTGTGTGTGTGTGTGTGTGTGTGTGTGTGTGCCCTTGATCCATCTGTCTACCTTTCTTTACCCAGTCCCTGCCCCAGGTCTACCATTCTTCTGCTTCCTCATCTTCCTAACCCTCAAATACCAGGGTCTCAACTAGCTGGTGAAACCCAACTGTCTTTAGGAAGTCTCGCTTCGTCAGGAGCCTGCGCACGGACCCCTGTGGCCAAGGCTGACTTCCTCCCACAGGGTCTGGGCGGGGCAGGCAGGAAGGGGCCATGACTGGCCCTGTTAGCCACCCACCAGAGCAGCAGCTGAGCTAGCAAGACAAGCAGCTGAGCCACCTTCTTCCCCCCCCCCCCCCCCCGCCCAGGGTTTCAGAATGGACCTGTGCCGTGCAGGTAAGCCAATGGGGTCCAGCCATGGGCCTCGGCATTTCCTCCTACAGAAGAGGGAAGCAGAGGCAGCCTTGCAGGGCCCTGCCTGAAAGGCATGAGAGTAAAACTGGTTTTAACCTGTCCCAGACATCAAACTCTGTGTGCAGAGGCAGGCACCACAGGGCTGGGCTCCTGGTCCCCAATCTCACAGGGATCTGTGGGGTCGCTGACCTCCTGGGTTCTGCTCTAGCTACGGGATGGATGGTGACAAATGGGTTGAAGGATAAGACAGGAGGACATGGACTGGGGGGGGCAGGTATTAGGAGGCCTCAGGAGAACACAGCTGAGCACAGCTGAGTTCTTGGGAGTTCAGGCAGAGGGAAGGGCCTCTGTAAGGTGGCTGGGAAGAATGACCTCTGATGGAGACAGATCCCACTAGTGGGAGAGCCCTACAGCACTTTTCTGCTCTTGGGGTCTGGTGGCATCGGGTGGAGGCTGGGGACATTGCCTGAAAGAGTAAACTGAACAGCGAGACCCTGCTGCAATAAGCCTCATTTACTCAGTAGCCAGGGTGGTGGGCCTGAGGGACAGAGAAGAAGGAAGCTGCAAAACTGATACAGGAGGGACAGGCTGGGGTGGTCCTCAGGGAGGAGAAAGCAGGGCTGTGAGGGGAGCCATGTCCCTGGACCCTGAGTCTTAGAAAGTTCTCCTGGAGCTCTAGGCTCTGAGGGCCAGCAGCAGCTGTCGCGTCTCCAGGTCTATAGGACTGGTCCAGAGTGATGCCTTTCTCCAAATGAAACCTACCCCTGAGCAGCCTGGTCCCACCCACTGGCCCTGGACACTATACCTCACTCAGGATCCCAGGAACACAGAGAGCTATCAGGCTTGCTTGCCTTTCTTTCTCTCCTTCCTTCCTCCTTTCCTTCCTTCCTTCTTTCTTTTTTTTTTCTTTCTTATTTCTTTTTTAGGTATTGGAGACAGGGTTTCTCTGTGTAGCTCTGGCTGTCCTGAAACTCACTTTGTAGACCAGGCTGGCCTTGAACTCACAGGGATCCACCTGCCTCTGCCTCCCCAGTGCTGGGATAAAAAGTGTATGTCACCACGCCCGGCTCCATCAGGCTCTTTCAACAGCCATTCCTTTATAGACTGGACATGGGAGGCTGTGAGGGGACATGATATAAGGGAAGTCCATGGCTCTGGCACAAAGGATCTCCTCAGTATAACCTCTCCCTTGTCTCTCTGGGGTTTTGGGGGAGGGAGAAAGAGTGAGCTAAGTCCTAAGGAGAAGGAGTGAGTAGACTGAAGATCAAGGCCAACATGAAGGCAAAAGGAGTCCAGGTGCTGGGCAGGCCCCGCCCCAGGCCACTCAGGAGCACAAGGGAAGGACAGACTCCACTCACCGTTTGGTACACTACTCACTGGGGTCCCGACATTGGGGTCCTAGGAAGTGCACACTTGGAGCAGATAAGGAAACTGAGGCTCCCAGAGGGGAGTTGAGGGGGAGGACTGACTCCCTTGGTACAGGTCATAACGCCAATAAACAACCAGCAAGAAGAGCCTAGAAGAAAGGGTCCACCTGGGGCAGGGGCCATGAAAGGCTGGGTGTACCCCAGGCCAGCCTGGGATAGATGGATGGACAACAGCCAATGTGACAATCTGTGGGAGGTTTGGGGTCTCCATGGACGGGTTTGTCTTTTTGTTCGTTCATTCATTTTACAAATAGCCCCGTGGTGTGTGTGCTTCAAAATGCAGGGGCTGAAGGGGAGCTGACATTCCCAGGTGCTGGGTGGAGGGGCCAGGGAACTCTGCACCTCACCTGGCCACACCCGCATCTGACACAAATAGGGAGGATAAGAGAAGGGGCTGGGGAATTTCTGGAGGAGGCAGCTGGGAGATCATTCTGTTACCTGGGTCCTACAGAAGAAGCCCGTGGTGGCAGGGGACTCCCCTCAGATTCCTTGTCTGTGAATGGCTGACCTTTTGTCCTCCTGGCCTGCCTCTGAGAATGTAGAAATCTGCCCTGCAGGTGCCAGCACTGGGTCTCTCCCTGCGACAGGCCTCAGTTTCCTTGTGATGGTTATGGATGGTCATGGTGGCAAAGGCTCTCTCAAGATGTTTCCTGCTCCTGCTCCTGCTATGGGGCTGTAATATAGAGAAGCATGCCAGGCCCTTCCCCCAGGGCCTGCGAGAAGGTGAGCCCTGAGCACAAGCAAGCCCTGCCTGTGGCGGAGGGCATGAGGTGGGTGAGCTAAAACCAGAGGCACTGGCAGAGAGAGGAAGCTGTCCTCCATTTGCTACTTCTTCTACCTAAAGCCCCCTCAAGGGCCCCCTCCCTGTGTGCCCAGTGGTACCCCCTCTACTAGGAAAGGGGAAGTGGAACCAGCTGTCCTGGAAGCAGGGCCGCAGACACTAAAAATAAGACAGGAAAGAGGAAGGGCAAGGGGGAAGTAGTGAGGGGCTGGGGTGGCGGCTGTGGGGCAGTGGGCAGTAGGCACTCATTGGCCTGAGACTGGAGCACAGAAGGCAGAGCGGGCAGGGGTGAGGGGTAACGGGAGGCTGGGGGTCACTATGAGAGGATCAGATGCTCTTGTTACTGTGGTATGTCTGGACGTTTCCAGTGTTTGTACTGCGTCAAAACAGCCTCCCCCAGGACCCCAGCTGGTTCCTGAAAGCCACCCTCTGTGGGTCACCTCAGAGGTGGCTTCTGTCTGGCAGTGTCTGAATTAGCCTCTGAGCAGAGAATCCTGGATGTGGAATGGGGAGGAAACGTCTGCTTTTTGATAAGCAGCTAATGAAGTCAGAGGGTTCTTATGGCCCTTAGGAATCATGCTGGGGCATTGGGCCAGGGATGATGGAGCCGTCTCATGGGTCCAGGGACACCTGGACAGCCAAAACCCACTGGAGACTGGGGTTGGGAAGAAGGGACAGTGTTCTCAGAGGGTTCCCAAATACTCTGCCACCACAGAGCCTGAGAACAGCCCGAGAGGAGAAGGGCCTGGCCACAGCTCACCGCCCCTGCGCTGTCCACTCCCCTGGGAACCCTATTTCCTTGGATCTACTTCCAGCCACTCCAGTGCCTCAGTTTCTCCACACATCCATCGATTTGTAGGGTTAAGGGAAGGCTAGCTGCAGGCATCTTCTTCCTGTATTGTCATCATGTTCACACTGCAGTGGGCGGGCGACACAGGGTCAGAACACCCAGGCTTGTGGGTTTTACAAGGTACTAGGAGGGTCGTAGGCTCCGGCCCCAGGTGGGTGGGAGGTGAATTCCAGCTCTACCACCATCCAGCCGAGGGAGGCATGAACCCCCTGAATCTCTCTGAACCTCTCTGAACCCTAAGAGTACCACATACAGCGGGAAGTTAGAAATGCCCTCTTCAGAGCTGTAAGGACTGAGACAGGAGGAGTAGGGCACTCCTCAATGGAGGAGGAGGCATGGGGAGTACTCAGTGCCAGCAAGCACAGGGAGGCAGAGGAGCTTCCACTTGAGCAAGGTGCTGGTTCCCTCAGGTGTCCAGGAGCTTGCATTTTAATGAGACTTACGTCACACGCCTCTCTGGCCCCCTCGGAACAGGATCTGTACCCCTGAAGGGACAAAAAGAAAGTCCTACTGAGCCAACCGGCCAGCACTCCTGCTTAAAGAGCCCTGCAACCAGCTGCGTGCATGACAGGGAGGGGCAATGGGTGTCCTAGAGGGGCCACCCAAGTAGGGGACCTTCTCTGCTGCATCCCCATAAGGCTGCTGCATTCTATAGCAGGCCCCGGTGGTGACAAGGTTGGGGACAAGCAGGTCCCACTGTACACAGCCTTTGCCAAGAAAAGGTTCTTGGCTTTGAATGGTCCCGTGATGTTTGAAAGCCCTCAGGCAGAAGTGCAGTGTCTGTCTGAACCTGTGTGGACTCCAGCCAACGTGAATGAATAGCTGGGCTGGGCCCAGTGGTGGGGAATCTGTCTCGCCTGTTCAAAGCCTTTGGTTCTATCCTTAGCAACACAAAAATAAAAATAAAGAACTGGCTAGTCTTTGCTAAAGCAAAGGTTCCAGTCCAAAGACCTTCCAGAGAAATCAGTGCCAGTATCTGTGGCTGGCTGGTTAGACACTGATGGTGGTAGCTGGCAGAGCTAGGAAGGAGTCCAGTTTCTTGCCATGCCCTATGGTTACTTCCTTCGCTGTGCCAGAGCCAAGGTGGCCCCGTAGGAGGCTGGTGAGTCAGCTGACCCGGTCATTAGTAGCGTGTTTCGTGCCCCTCCTGAATGCCTGCCTGTCGGTGACCCCTACAACTCTGTGCCCACCATCCTTCTGCCCACCCTCGTCTCCTCCCAACCTGTGCCCTCGTCTCCTCCCAACCTGTGCCCCATATCTTTCCACTCTTGGCCTCCTCAGCTAGTCACAGCCACAGCTACCAAGAGCTCAAGGGCACCCTTTCTTCCTGAACCACAGGAAGTGGTGAGCCAGATGACCTGCGCAGGGCCTCCACTGTGGTCTTTCTGGGAAGGCTTGAAGTGTCTTAGATACCTACATTGTTAGCTGTAGTTAGCTTTTGAGTGTTTGTTTGTTTGTTTGTTTTGGGGGATTGTTGTTATTGAGACTGCACCTTATTATACAGCCCCGACTGGCATAAAATTTGTAATCCTCTTGCCTCAGACTCCCAAATGCTAGGATTACAAGCGTGAGCTACCGTGCATGGCTCTGTGGTGGTTCTGACTAGAGTGTACCAGGTGGAATGAGTGAGCCACGTCCCGGTGGGGGAGTCAGTGTCACACTAGCTCCAGCACCGTGGGTCTCACTTTGTTTCAGGGACCGATGGGATAGCATGGGATGGGGAGCCAGTCCGATCCAGGGTCCCAGACTTCAGCGGCTTCATCCCTTTGCAAATTTTCCTCCCTTCTATGAGCTACAGTGTCTGAGAGCATGGACTGATGAGGTGCCAACCTCCCCCCGCCCCCCGGCCCCAAATTCTGTTTCTCCTTCCTGCAAAGTCAGGACAACAGGATCATCCTAGTAAAGCTCATTTTCCAGCTTCCCTTGCAGCTACGTACGGTCAGGTGACCCCCACAATGGCCACAGGAAATATCTCTCCAGGGAGTAAAAGGAATTATGATGGAGACGTGGGGCTACCCTGGAGAGGGATGTCCAAGAATGCTTCTCGGTGGTGGCATCCAGTCAGGCTCAGTGGTATCAGCAAGTGCCACACTAGCTCCTGCACCACGGGCCTCACTTTGTTTCAGGGGTCTCCCCAGGAGGATCCCTGGGGTGCAGAACCAAGCAAGCCTCCTTTCTCTCCAGATCCAGCTGAGCTCAGCAGTGGGGAGGCCAAGGAGCTACAGCAGATCAAATGGCACAGGAAGCAACTACTGGAAGACATCCAGGTGTGTGCACATGCGTGCTGACACAGAGCCGCATACATTCACACTCAACACACGTGATCTCCTTCAGACCCACACATTCACACGCACAGACCCCCACACATGCCTACCCACAAACCCACACATGCTTACACTGACACACACACACTCATACTAATCACTAAACTACACACATTCACGAGACAGCACTCAATCCCGTCGAATCTTCCGCTGTCCTGACCAAATGCTCAGAAAGCCAGCCAGACCTTGTCTTCTCCTCCCCAAAGCCCCAGGCACCAGCTCCACCTCTGCCCTCCCCCAGATTTAGGGGACCCCCAATCCCAGGCCCCTGACTCCTCTTAACCCACCCCCAGGTCCCAGAGCCCCTCACCCCAGCTCCAGACCCCAGCCTTAATCTCACCTCAGAAATAGAAAGTGGCCTGAAACTGCCAGGCACTGTCCATACCAGCTCAGTTGCTAGGCCCAGCGCAGACCAGGTGCAAGCCCTTGCCTCCTCCCTCATGTACCCTTTGGACAAGGCCACACCTACCCTGGGCTCAGCTCCTGTGAGCCCACCGGTTTCCTAGACAATCATGTGATTATCGCTTAGCCTCAGAGACAGGGCTCCATTCCGAAACCTGTTTCCTCTTCCTTCCCTTCCACTGAGAGGCCTGTTCAGTCCAGGCCTTGGGGTACCCATAGCACCTGGACAAGTGACAGAGAAGGTGTGGTGCTGGGACAAGAGTTGGGGTCCATTCCCTAGGGGGCCATGGAGAGCCATGGAGAGCCATGGAGGATTTCTGCACAGGGGACAGCAGCACCACGATTCTATGGGGAAACTGTCGGCCAGGCCGAGTGCTGGCCTGTTGGTGGGAGGAGAGGGCAGGAGACTTCCTGGCTGCACAGGGGGCGGGGAGGGGGGGAGAAGCAAGCTGGAAATAGGGTCAGGCTTGTGCACAGGGACTCCCACCCCCTGAGAGGAGGGCAGGTGGAGAAACAAGGCTCCTGCTTTCGAGATAAAAAGGCAGGCACGGGAAGGGAGGATCTGAGAAGACTGAGGGAAGAGCCCAAGCCGTGGGGACATCCCGACCTCCAGGCTGACCCCTGTATGTGTGTCCGCAGAAACTGAAGGATGAAATTGCAGACGTGTTTGCCCAAATGGACTGCTTCGAGAGCACTGAGGAGAGGTGAGGGGCCTGGGCTGTGGGAAGACAATGCCTGAGGAACAGCTCACTCTCTGTGTGCTGTGGATGGTGCTAGGACCCACGGAGATGCCCACAGCCCCATCCGCACTGTCTAGACTACCCACTCCTCATTGGCTCCCACGCAACCACCATGGCCTCAACCCCTGCACTCCACCTCTTCACAGCAGCACCTGCTGGAACCAGACCAGCAAAAACCAAAAACAAATAAACAACAAAAAACAAAAACAAATAAAAAATCCTGACCCTGGATGAGGGTAAGAAAAGTCTGGTAACCAGAAGCCTGGCCTGGAATAGGCTCCGCTGGCCCACCTTACTCCTCACAAGGGAAAGGCTCCTGCTGGCTCTTTGCCCTAGGACTAGGCCTTCTTTCTGGGCCTCAGTTTCCCCATTTGCATAAAAGGAGAAGGTTGGGTTCCCACACAATCTCCCAGGCCCTCGATACTTGATATTGTAAGACAACAAAATGACGTTTCAGCTACACATGGGGGGGGGGGGAATCTCGTAATGTTGTGAGTGAGGTTTCCTTTGTGTTGGGTGGCATTCACAGCTCTCCTGGGCCAACTGCAGCCACACGGAGCCAGCAGGCTGTGCACGCTCGCTAGAACTCTGGGGCACTGAACTAGAAGTATACGTGGCTTGCCAGGAGCCGCCTCTGAAAACTGTTTCACCAGCATCTCAATCACTCCCATGTATGCAAATGAACACACACATGTCCTGGTGGTTCTTGCAGAAGAGGAAACTGAGGCCTGGGGAGGGGGGAGGATGGAGGGACTCACCTTTAGAGGCTTGGCCCAAGAGTAAATAGAGCAAGACTTACGCTCAGGAGCAGCCTCTGGGGCCCAAGCCCTCAGTAGCCCCATCATGCCCCGTTATCCCCCACCCCCACCCCAGTGAGTTCTCCTGGGTTCCTGAGAGGCCCAGAGTTCCGTGTTCAGCTTGCAGCCCCCACCCCCTCGATACCCTCCACTTCGTTCTTGCTCTCCCAGGTGGTCCAGACACAGGGCCTGGGGCTACACGTTGACTTTCCTGAGAAAGGCCGCCCTGAGGGTTGGTGGGGGACACAGTGGAGTCCTGAGCCACCATGCTGATATGCCTCTGTTCACAGCCGGATGGCGCAGAAAGAGAAGGAGATGTGTATCGGGAGGAAGAAATTCAACATGGACCCTGACAAGGTATACCACCCAGAGGAGGGGACATCTGGGTGGCCACAGGAGGGGGACATGGGCCTCACCAAGGTACACAGCAGAGCTAGGGGAGAAGGCCTCCTTCCGGGCAGCTTTGCACCTGACCCTACAACCCCCCCCCCAACAGAGGAAAAAGCTGAGGCCCCTCAGGGACCAAGCCTTGGGGACCATAGCTGGCCTCTGTCCACAACATAATACCACAGCCCAGAGACAGGAAGGCTGCGAGGTCCTCCCCTTGCACCGACCCCCTTTCTTTTCTGGCCACATGCCCTCCTCTGAAATGGGGTTGGAGCAATGAGGCCCTTAGACCCTCTGCCCCCGACGTGGCCTCTGAGCCCGGGCTGCCAAAGCCCGTTCTGTAGCTTGGCAGCCCTTGGCCTCAAAGCCAGCCAGCAGCCCTTCACTCCGCCAGGTGGCCACAGGCTCCCTCACCATCGGGGACAGCCACAGGAGGAAGCCACATGCTGACCACACTAGGGCAAGGGTCCAGGCAGCCGCACGGAATGCCGAGCCCTGGCTGAGACGACCTCAGCCACGTCCAGCCACAGGCCCTGGACCACTGAGCCTCTTGCCTGCCCTCCTACAAACATGCACACGTTTCCAGCACATCCTCAGTCTAGCCCAGGACGCCAGAGACCAATCCCTGACCTCCGCACCTCAGAGGGGTGACACTTTGTGCCTGGGCAGCTGGCTTCAGGATGACAGGAGGTGGGGTACACATTCCCCCCCCTTAACTAGAGAAAGGCAGTGAAGGCCATTGCCCTGGAAGCTGGCTACCTCAAAGGTGGGGTTTTGTATAACCTCCTCCCCTTTTGATTTAGCTGGTTTGTGTGCCTTGTACACAATGGGCAGAGATTGCTCGCATGATGGAATAAACTATTTCAAATAACACCGAGCTTCGGGGGAACAAAAGGCAAGGCTGAATCACCGAGTATTAGAACTGTGACTGCCGGCGGCCAGGGAAGGGTGTAGCCTAAGCATGCCAGGCTGAGGGCGGGGGAGGGGACGACCCCAGGAAGTACCTGGCATGAGCACGCTTCATTTAGCTCCCTTAGCACACCTCCAGAGATGGGGAGCTCACCACCTCTCAAAGTCGGCTTGAAAGCATCACCCCAGAACAGGCTGCGCAGAGCCCCAACACCAGGCGTCCCTCCTCCTCCCCTCCCCCACCCGGGGGGGAACTATGGGGTACGCTCATGGACTCTGTATCACCTCCAGGGTATCCAGTATCTCGTTGAGCACAATCTGCTGACCTCCAACGTCCAGGACATAGCTCAGTTCCTGTACAAGGGCGACGGCCTCAGCAAGACAGCCATTGGCACCTACTTGGGGGAAAAGTAAGAGGACCCCAGACAGGAAGTGGGAGGTGGGGATGTGGGGGTGGGCGTGCTGATCAGGGTGGAGGGGGCTTGGAAAGCCATCATGGAAGCTCAGGGAGTCACACTCCCTGAGGGAGGCGGCTGACAGGCTCCTGACCTGTGAGCTGGGGAGAGGGAGGAAGTCAAGAGGCCTGCTCCTCCTGATGCTGATGAGGAAACGTGCATGGGCTTGGGTAGGGTCATCAGGCAGGAAGTGACCAAGGAAGAACTTAACTCAGGGCCCCAAAGGTCGAAACCCAGAGCTCATGGCCCCTTGCTGGCGTGCGTGTGTGTGTGTGTGTGTGTGTGTGTATGTGTGTGTGTGTGTGTGTGTGTAGACAGAGGTGTTCCCACCATGTAACTGGGCCAGGAAGGATGCCATCTTCTCCCTCCCTTCCTCTCTAGAAGGTGGGCCTGGCAAATTGTCAAACGTACCCTCTTGCCCCTGTCTCCTCCCAGGGACCCCATCAACTTGCAGGTCCTGCAGGCCTTTGTGGACTGCCACGAGTTTGCCAACCTCAACCTGGTCCAGGCCCTCAGGTGAGTGGTGCCGGCAGGGAACACGGTGGGGGTGAGGAGGGTGTGGCTCCCATCCAGGGAAGGACGCTTGAGTGAGAGGAGCACAGCCCTGAAGAGCTGAGGCAGGAGACTTCCGGGCTTGGAAGCCTGCCGCCACCTCTCCTTGACCCGCCACCATTAACAGGCCTGTGATACTTGCAGTTGCTCATCCTCCTGGCCATCTGAGGGCACTAGCACCGTGTTCTAGCACTTTCTAGGCTAGTAAGGGTTGACTTTAGTCCCGCACCCAGCTTTGTGTAGAACGCGGTGGCTGTGGCTTGTGATGCCTGATTCCAATACTCCTCATCGCCACTTGTGTTTCCACATCCATGGGCGCAGTGTGGTGCCCGAGTTAGTGGCACACACCCCATAATGTCCTCCCCAAACCCCCAGCTCTGCCCCATTCCCTGTGTGACCCAGAGCAAGGCACAAATAAGAAAACTCAAAGCCGGGCACGGCGTTTCACACCTGTAAGTCACGGCACTCGGAAGTCTGAGGCAGGAAGATTGCTGTGAGCTCCAGGTCAGCTTGGGCTACAAAGTGAGTTCCAGGCTAACCTGGGCTACCCTCTCTTAAAAACAAAACAATACAAAAAGGGAAGGAAGGTTCCCTGAGTCTCTGTTTCCTCCTCTATAATATGGGAATCAGTACCAAGTCTGGAGAGCAGAAGGAAGGACTTGTAACCTGCCATAACCGTTCTCACGTGTGTCAGCTTTAAGACTTAACTGAAACTTCATGTCACTTAGGGAGTCTTGAAGTTGCTGCTGGGAAGACCTGGAAGTCAGCTCCCAAGAGGGGCATATTTGATCTGGGCTTTGAAGGATGAGTAGGAGTTTGCAAGGCAGAGAAGGAAAAGGCCACTACCATCCCAGCAGTTTGGGCTTCCTGGAGGAAGGGCTTAAGAATCACTCCTCTCCATTTTTTTTCCTTCCTTCCTTCCTTCCTTCCTTCCTTCCTTCCTTCCTTCCTTCCTTCCTTCCTGTCTTCTTTCTGCCTTTCCTTCTTTTTTTCCTTAAACTCACTCAATAAACTTTGGCCGAGCAGGTTTTAAGTGACCTGTGGAGACAAGAGGACTTAGCTGACACTAAGGCACAGGCTTCCAGAACTGGGGGAAGCTTGGATCCCAGGACAGGGAAGAAGGCCCATCCAGGAGATCCAATGCCCGGGGTCCCACGTCCAGAGCCTGTCCCTCAGTTCTGGCATTCTGGAAAGTAGCACAACTCCACATCTGCCCACACTCTTGGTACCTTCGCACCTGAATCCACCCACCCCACGTCGGGGCCTAGAGGAGGTCACCGGTGGTTCCCACGAGTGGGGCCACCGAGCATCCCGCCTGCTTCACTGCCCTCGGCCCCGTCCCCCTAGGCAGTTTCTCTGGAGCTTCCGGCTGCCGGGAGAGGCCCAGAAGATCGACCGCATGATGGAGGCCTTCGCTGCCCGCTACTGCCTCTGTAACCCCGGTGTCTTCCGATCCACAGGTGATGGTCTCCTCGGGGGTAGGGAACAGGGAAAAACAGAACAGCGTGTGAGGGTTCGGGGACGGCGTCTCAGAAGATGCACGGTCTGAGTGAGGTTTTGAAGGATGAGTAGGAGTTCTCTAGGAAGTTATAAGGGGAAAACACTTTAACATCTCTAGTTAGACAAAGGTCCCACTACGTGTAACACCCTGAGAAGGGCAGACAAGGGCCAAAGGGCTGAGTCACCCATCTCCAAAGGTAACCAAACAGTGAGACAGGGACAGGACAAGGGGAGAGGAGCCAATGTATCACAAGCCAAGCTTGTGAGGGGGTCCCTGTGTTCCGGCGCTCTACACGTGCAAGGCCTTTGGACCCTCTTGTCAGCATCATCAAATCCCCACATCAGTCTCTAAATGCAGGAGCCAGGGTCAGACAGGAAGCAACTTGTCCCTGGTCAGACAACTCCCCCTCTGCTGCACACAGGACAGAAGAGAGCCTTTGCCATGCTTGGCCACAACCTGTGGACCGGCATTTGCTTGCCTGTCAGTTTCTACACACTTAAAACACAGGGCCAGGGCAGGAAGCATATAAGTAGCGTGTTCACCTGGGACCCCCAGAACCCAGAACAGTGCAGAGCTCAATAAACGCTGGTAGGAGGCTGGCGGTGGGGGTATATACCTATAATATCAGCACTAGGGAGGCTGAGGTGGGAAGATCGCTGCCCATTCACGGCCAACCTGGGTTTAGCTTGAGACCCTGCCTCAGTCAATCCAGTCAGTCAGTCGAGGCAGCATAGAAGGGACTTGAATCAGCCAAGCTTGGGCCAGGGCCACAGTTACGGGAGGGAGAATGATCACTTCCTACACCATCAGCCTCTGGGAGTCCCACGTGCAAGCTGAAGGTCAAGGGGTTGGAACCGGCCCCCTCAGGTTCTGGATCCTGGGGGGAGGCCCAGAACGGCAGCCACACCCCTAAGCCTGGGCACGGCTCTGCACAATGCAGCAGGCTGCTGGCAGCAGGGGCAGCAGCAGAGGCGGCCAGGTTACCAAGCAGCCTAGAACAAACTACCAACTAACAGGGCAGCTAACAATGAGCTCCAGTTCCCAGGAGGCAGAGAACAGAGTGGGCGGGCCTGGGAGGGCTGCAGCTGATGGCAAGCAGGATCTGAAAGGGAAGGAGGGCACCACCGGGAGGGGAGGGGGGCAGAGCAGCAGCTGAAGTCTGCAAAGTGGGAGGAGGGGATGCTGGGCCTTGATTTATGTGCCAAGCTCAGCCTGGGCCTGGGGCGGGGTGGACTTTCTGGGCCTTGCCAGGACTGGGACGGAGGAGGGGACAGTGACCTGGGCCAGGACTTGTGACCAGTGCCAGGTTCCACAGACACCTGCTACGTGCTGTCCTTCTCTGTCATCATGCTCAACACTGGCTTGCACAACCCCAACGTCCGGGACAGACCGCCCTTCGAGCGCTTTGTGTCCATGAATCGAGGCATCAACAATGGCAGTGACCTTCCGGAGGAGCAGCTTCGGGTGAGCGCGCCACCTCCTTACTGGTCCTCTGGGAGTTCCACTTCTCTGAGATACAGCAGAGGCAGAGGGCACGAGGGCCAGTCATTATGGTGAGGCGGGCCTTCTTAATCCTCAGCCTGGCCTCATCTTGACAAGGATGCCTTCGGGTGGACCTTGGGGTATCCTTCAGACTTAGATTTTGGGGAACCCTGGCCAGCCACTATTCACTCACGCTTCCTCCAAATGGTAACGTTAGGCCTAGAATGTGGCTCAAAGGCCTTCACAGGCCATAAGGTCCCCAATAAAAGGGGACGGCACCTCCTAAAGCTCAGAATCCCAGCTTCTCTGCAAGCCAGAGGGGAGAGAAATGCTTGGCTGGGGTCTTCAGAGGGAGAGAGCCAGTCTCCCACAAGTCCTCCTAGCTCTACAGCAAGGCTAGTCCTGAGCCTCTTGTCCCCTTGTCCCCACACTGCTCCCCCACCACACCGCACCAAAACCTGTTCTTGGCACATGGACAGAGGGAAGACTCCACACAGGCTGTGTGGAAGAAATCTGCCCTTGAATGACACCCACACTCAGCCCCCAGAGCTCCCTGACGTCACCCATGCTGACTGTGGAAGCTTTATTTAAGAGAGGTGTGCTGATACCACGGTGGGAGAGGACAGGAAAAGGTGTCACCCCAGAAACCTGGCCGGGGCGGGTGACCTCCAGGCTGGACTTTTGACAGCTGGTAAAGGCTCTTCCAGGAGAGGCAGAGCAAGGGCATCCCAGAAGGAGAAAGCAGGGTTTAGCTGAGAAGGAGTCAGCATCCAGTGTGCCGCCTAGCTATGGGGTAGACGTGAGCAGGGCGTCTGGGTGCTGGAGGCCAGCCTCGGGAAGACTCAGAACCAGACGGTTGCAAACACAGGGGTTCGGATGTGTGCCCTGGTGAGAAACGGTCATACAGTTCAATGATGAGAGGGACCCGGTACTCGAGCCCCAACCCAGGGTGAGTCAGCAGAGGACACAGCCCCCAGATCAGAGCCTGGGCTGATTCTGAGCCCCTCGGAGCTGCTCACTGCATCCCCTCAGGCCACAGAACATGGCTCCAGCACAGCCACTCTACCATCCTGTAAAGAACGCTCCAGAGCCAGCTGGAACTCTAGTAGGGCCCCATCTCCCTCGGGTACCCGCTGGGTGGCTGTGGGTGGCTCACTGGGGTTCAGTCCACCACTCCCTCCTAGAGTGGGGGTGACCAGCCTGCCTGTGTGCAGTTTGTAAACTGCTTGGGGAGGGGTCTTCCCGGTTCACAACCCAGGCTTAAAGGCGGCTCGTGTCGCCAGAAAGAGTCATTAAGAACATGCCGGGGTGCAGCTGGCGCAGTGCTTACCAAGCATGCCCAGGGCTCTGGGACCAGTCCCCAGCACTGCATAACCCTGGCATTGTAAAACACACACACACACACACACACACACACACACACACACACACACACACACACGGTCCCAGCACTCAGGAGGTGGAGGCAGGAGGAACAGGAGTTCAAAGGCATTCTTATCTACAGAGCAAGTCTGAGGCTAGCTGAGGCTGGACAAGATGCTATTTCAAAACCAAAAAAAAAAAAAAAAAAAAAAAAGCAAAAACACAGAACAAAACCAATCGTGCTTAGGGGTAGAAGCAACGTGCCTCACAGGAGGCCCTGACCCACCCCACCCCCCACCCCGTCTTCCACTCAGAGAGGCCTCCTCTGTAGCATTCCTTCCTCATGTCCGCAGGCTGGAACTTGCTTGCAGGGGACCTAGTCTGTCCCAGAGCCCTGGGAGGGGTCGGGTACCCTGGTCAGCAGCGCAGAGCCAGGCAAAGAGCAGGGCGGACGAGAGCCGCTGGTGGCCTGTTTCTTCAGCCCGCAGCTGGACTCTGGAGCCCCTCCAGCAGTGGTTAGCAGAGCTCACAGGCAGTGGTCACCAAATGCCAATCTTCCCCAGCTAAATCCCAGAGCACCCGGGCCTGCTCTGAGAGCCACCCCAGGTTTTTCACAGGCAGCCGGGTCCTCTCGCCTTCTCCCTGGCCTCATTTTAATATTTTCAAAGCAAGGACCCAGTGTCCCATTGCCTCTTTGCAGAAGTGAGTTCTCCCTGGACCACTGTTGCTGGGGAAGCCACAAAATGCTTTCTAAGTACACCAAGAGACAGAAGAAAAATTGACACAGATATGTGCCCCAAGGGAGGTCACCCCCCCCCCCAAGGTCACACAGCCCTGCAGGATGTGCTTGTGGGAAAGACAGGCAGGCCAGTACTTAAAAGGTTCTAGGTGCAGAGGAAGGGGCTGGACACAGGGGCGGGAGATGAATGCCAGCTCCTCCCCGGGCCAGTCTTCAGGCCTCTGTCAGAGCCAGCAATGTCCTAGGCATGTTGTCATTGTGTACCCCCTATCCCCAAGGTCAAGCTAAGGTCACAGGGTGGTCAGGCTTCATGTTTGTGATGGGAGAGTCCCAGCTTAAGCTGCGGCTGACTCCTGAGCTCCGCCCTTCGCAGAGACTAGAAGATGAGATTTCGGGGAGAGGGGACTTGAGCATGCTACCCCACCTCCCCACGCTGTCACCGTTGAGAAACTGAGTTCAGAGGGCACCCAATGTGGTCTCGGGGCTCTTGTGTCCTGGAATAAAGAACCGGAAGAGGGACACATGGGTAGTGACAGGAATAGAGTTTGTTAAGGGTCTTTTTGAGAATGGAGGTGAGTGAGAGGAACATCTGAGAGGCAGAAGCTGCAGGCCGCTGGTCCTCGGCCTTGGGGTCTGTCACATAGCAACCCTCTCTGGCATTGGGAAATGGAGGTTCTCCTCCGGTGTGCTCTATCCCTTCCAGGCGGCCACAGTACACAAGTGAAGGGCGGGGGGGCAGCTTGCAGGACTTGGTGCTCTCCCTCCAAAGAACGGCACCGGTGTCATGGGTTTGGCAGCAAGCGCCTTCCCACACTCACCCATCTTGCTTGTCCATCGTATGTAAATCCTGACACCCCTTTCTTGACGCCTTACTGCCATACCAGCTGGGAGAATCACAAGCGGCATCACTAGAAAGGACAGGGATGGGGCTGGAGAGGTGGCTCAGAGGTTTAGGAGCACTGGCTGCTCTCCCGGAGGACCCAGGTTCAATTCCCAGAACCGACATGGCAGCTCACAACTACCTGTAATTTCAGTCCCAGGGGGCCCAACACCCTCACATCAACATACATACCGGGAAAACACCGGGGCACATGAAGTAAGGTGGCCTGAGGGGCTGCATGTCACGGCTACCCGCCCTGCATGCTGGCTATGGCAGAGATGCCCAAGTAGGGCCAGCCTCTCCTGGAAAACTAAACTCCCGGAATTAAGTCCCACTGACTGGCTGGGGTCATGGGTCTCTGTCTAAATTGTGCATAGGACGAAAGGCTCTAAACAATCAAATGGGGGTCACTGTCCCTTCCTGGAAGCTGAGGATGGAGGGAAGAGCCCAGCTCACTGAACAACCTAGACAGAATAGAGAGAAGGGATTCCGGGCACAGGCCCACAGAGCTACAGAGACACTCAGCGTCCTGAGAGGTCTCTGTGCAGTGGTTAGTTTGGCGACAGGGGCTTCAGGGTGTTTTCAAGACACAGGAAGCGTGGGTGTGCTGTGCTGTCTCTGTGAGGTAGGTGACACACGCTCCTACGATGAGGGCGGAAACTTCCAAGCCCCCTGTGGGTTTAGCAGAGGCTGAGGCTCCGTCTACCACCCCACAGCCTCCTCGGGCCTCCCTAATACTTATTGGAGCTGAAAGCTCAGCTACCGGAGGGCCTCCCTGTCCCCAAACACTCATTCCACCAGGCAGGCCACCTGGGGATTCCCAAGGCAAAACCTGCCACCTCCACCTCCATGCACCCCTACCCCCAACCGACCAAAAGAAGTCACCACTTTTCTCTCGCCCCCCACACCAGTGAGGTTGGGAGGGGATGTAAATGTTCCCTTGGAGGATGTTCTGGCCCCACCTCTATAAGCCTCAGGAAAACCAACTTCAGGGCTGCAGCCGGTGGGGGACCCCTGGACAAAGAACAGGATGTCAGTAATAGGGAGGAAGTGGCAAGAGGTGTGAAATCACTCATTACAATACTGGGGAAACGGCACCGCAAAGCCAGTTGCTCTGACAGGTAATGGCCGCACAGTGCCTTCTGGCTTTAACAAGCAGGAGCATGTTAGAAAGTTAAAGGTCCAATCCCACTGCTGGGGGAACCCAGTGGCCCACTGGAGATTCAAAACACTCAGGTGGGTCTCCAACCACACCTAAGGGAGGAGCGATCTCAGCCGTGGCTTGCATTCCTCCAGGGCCGTGACTTGCATATTTAAACAGCTTTTCACCAGAAAGTCATCCATGGAGGACCGAAGTCAGCTCTTGGGGGACCTTTTACATCTCAATCGCCATAATGGCAGCCCATCCTAGACAGACACTGTGCTTAGCACCCTAGCTGAGGACCCCTCCTGCTGGACCTCTGAGCCCAGAGCAGTCAATCCCCTCCTCCCCAAGACCTCCTCTAGCCTCACTCCAGAATGCGTTGTCTAGAAGGTTCTCTGTCCACCTAAAGCAGAAGAGGGGCATCTCCCATCATGGGCGCTACTCCAGCTGCTGGGCGTCTGTGTCCCCAGGGGTGAACCTAAGGCACCCATCACTCTTCCCTGGGGCAACACAGGGGACAGAACACAGGGTCTGGGTGTGGCCAGTGCAAAAGGAGAGCCCCAGTCAGTCGCCTGAGGGGATGGAAGGGTTTCACAAGAATGGCCCAGGCGTGGGCTGGCCTGCCAAAGGCCACCCAGGCCCCAAACTCAGAGGACTGAATCCAGTCTTTTCCCCCTCTCGGGCAGAACCTGTTCGATAGCATCAAGAGTGAGCCCTTCTCCATTCCCGAGGATGATGGTGGTGATCTAACGCACACCTTCTTTAACCCTGACCGTGAAGGCTGGCTACTCAAGCTGGGTGAGACCCCTTGCACGAACTCGTACTAACTTGCACGAGTGTGGCGCACGTGCACACACACACACACACACACACACACACACACACACACACTTCAGGAGTGGACCTGCACAGCCCTGGTTCTCCTAACCTCCAATCCAGCAGTCTTCTTACCCTCTCTGTCCTTCCTCTCATCCACCCACTCATCCATCCATCTACCCACCCATTGTCCTATTTATCCGTTCATCTTTCTATTCATCCGTCCACCTAGCCACTCATCTGTCCTTCCATCTGTTCATCTATCCACCTACCTTCGCCTCCACTCATTCATCCATCCACTCATGCATCCATCTGTCTATTTACCCACCTACCCATCTATCTATTCACACACTCCTTTATCCATCCTCCCACCTGCCCATCATCTAGTCATCCATCTACCCTTCCACCAACTCATCCATTTTCTTATCCACCCATTCATATATCCACCCATCCATATATGCATAAAGACATATCCCCTTCTGTCCATCCATCTTGGGGATGCAGGGGGAGACAGAGGCTCCATGGACTGTTTCTCTCCCAGAAGGGTGGAGAGAAGAGTCAGGCAGAGCTCCTCTGTTCAGGGCAACAGAACGTGAGGTACTGGTCCTTGAACAGCCCAACCTTTGGGTGGTCATTCTCAGGAAGTCAAGACTCAGCAAGGTTAGGGCAAATTTCTCAAGACCACACAGCCGGCAAGTGCCATATGTAGGGCAGCGGAGGGCTGGGTGTCCCTGAAGCAGGGGGGCAGAGAAAAGATGTAACTCAGACAAAGCCATGGATGGGGTGTGGACCAGTGGGTGCTCCAATGGTTGAGAGAAGCAGCCAGCCCTGCCTCCTCCAGGAACACTCCCAGGGGCCTCCCCAGCATGGCCAGCCAGGTAGGCCCTGTGGTCTTCCAGGGCAACTGAAGAAAAATGCCTCATCTTGGCGGAAGCACCTCAGCCAGGCAGCCTCCATCACTTACAGTGTGCTTAGACCATAGCAGACTCACCTATGTTCTAAAAGCCCGCCATGCCTTCTGTCTGTCACCAAACCCCAGTCCCCCTTCCCACGGCAGAGGGGCATCAGAGCCTCACGGGGGAGTCTCCCTTCAACACCAGTTTTTGCATGGCCTACTTTCTCCCAGCCTTGGTCTCCTCATCTGTAAAATGGGGTTGTCAGTGGCCCTCCCCGTCTTGAATGGCCACAAGGATCGACTTTCTCATTTTCTCCCACACCTGATCAATCAAAGCTAGAATGCTGGATTAGCTACTCTTCTCAGTGACAAAATACCTATCGAAAGCAGCTCAAGGAAGGGAAGAAGGGTGCGTTCGGCTCTGGGGGAAGAGCTCCTTAGGCAGGAGCCTGGGGCAGCAGGTCGCATTGTGCCCACAGTCAGAAAGCAGAGAGCAATGAAGGTCTAAGCTCAACTCACTCCTTTTTCAGTGCAGAACTCCAGTCTCAGGGACGGTGCTGCTCTCCGTCTTGGTTAACGCAGTCTGGAAACCTCCTCACAGACATGCGTGGTCTGGAATCCAGATGATTCTAGACGCTGTTGACTTGACAGTCAGTCAAGACAGACCCAAACACGTACAGCAAGCACGGGTCTGGGTGTGGGCTCAGGTCAGGGCCAGGGGGCAGTGGCCAGGAAGGGCAGGGAATACTACTACTGTCCCTCTATCTAATCCCTGGGATCCCAGTGTGAGGAAGTGGGGTGACGGGAGCTGCTAACAAGGCTTGGGGAACAGAGAACTTGTACAAGGCTCCACGGCTCTCCCATGGCGGAACTTGGTGACCCGGGAGGAGGAAGGCTGACCCACCCCACTTTCGGCCTCTTGCAGGGGGCCGCGTGAAGACGTGGAAGCGGCGCTGGTTCATCCTCACTGACAACTGCCTTTACTACTTTGAGTTCACCACTGTGAGTGCGTGGGGAGGTGGGAACGGGACATGCCCAGCTACAACTGGCCCCTCCAACCACTGCCACTTCGAGAGAGTGTGGAGGAGGAGGGAAGTGTGGAGGAAGAGAGTTTTCAATGTCACTCCAGCCACTGAGGGGCTGGGCAAGGCAGAGCCCTGACTTAAAGTTGGGTTTCCTGAGCTGGGACTATAGATCAGTGTTAGAGCATAGGCTTAACACCTGTGAGGAGGCCCTGGCCAATTTCTAGCACACACTCACAAAAACTATTAAAACAAAATTTGTTCAAAGACAGATGGATTTCCTAAAGACTTGGGGCATGGGAGTGCACACCTATAATTTTCAGCACTGAGGCAGGAGGAGCCTAACATGTTTAAGGTCAGCCTGGGCTATACAACAAGATCCTTCCTCAGGAAAAAAAAAAAAAAAAAAAAAAAAAAAACATAAAAGTGGGAGGAGGCCAGAGAGGCAGCTCTGCAGTTAAGAGCAGCTGCTTTTCCAGAGGACCAGGGTTCAACTCCCAGCACCTACATGGTGGCTCACAACTGTCTGTACTGCCAGTTTTGGGGGGCCATCTAATGTCCTCTACTGGTCCTGTGGGCACTGAACATATACGGTACACTTGCATGCATTCGGGCAAAACACCCCTACACATGAAATCAAATGAAGAAAAAAACGTCTTTTCATTCACGTCTCCCACATCCCAACCAAGGCTCCAGTGCTGCGGCCCCTGTGGCTGGGCAGTTTGGAGAGACAGTCTGGGAGGCCCCAAGCTCATTTCCTGCTCTTGACTTTGCTTCCTTAGGACAAGGAGCCTCGGGGAATCATCCCACTGGAGAACCTCTCCGTGCAGAAGGTGGAGGACCCCAAAAAGCCGGTGAGAGTCCAGCTGGGGGCTCCTAGCATGGCAGAGGGCCGGGGCCTATGTGGGACCCCTCCACAAGGCCTGGCCACTCTGTAGGGTCTCCCCTGAAGCTTTGGACACAGGATGGTCCGTGTCTTTGAAAGAGAAAGCCTAAATGCAGGGTGTGGTGCCGCATGCCTGGAATCCCAGCACTCTGGGAGGCAGAGGCAGGCAGATCTCTCTGAGTTTGAGGCCAGCCCGGCCTACCAAGTAAGTCCAGGCTATCTAAGGCTACACAAAGAAACCCTGTCTCAAAAAGAAAGAAAGAAAGAAAGAAGGAAGGAAGGAAGGAAGGAAGGAAGGAAGGAAGGAAGGAAGGAAGGAAGGAAGGAAGGAGCAAGTCTGGGTCATCTTGTGGCACCGACTCTAGCACTAACTGGGGAACTAAATCACAGCAGTTTTCTGAGCCTTGGTTCCCTTATCTGTTACATGGTATTTTTAGGGATCCTGGTCCGTAGTAGGTGTTTCTTTTTCTTTCCCCCTGAGCTGTTTGGGACAGGCATTCTGTAGCAGTGCTGCTCTTGCTTCTGTGACACCCCCCCCCCGATCCCCTCACCCTCACCTGGCACTGCCCACAGTTCTGCCTGGAGCTGTACAACCCCAGCTGCCGGGGCCAGAAGATAAAGGCGTGCAAGACGGATGGGGACGGCAAAGTGGTGGAGGGAAAACATCAGTCCTACCGAATCTCAGCAGCCAATGCAGAAGAGCGGGATCAGTGGATCGAGGCCATCCGGTGAGGGGCAGCGGGGACACCGGGCACCTCCTGTTACCTTCCTACGGCTTTGGGGTCTTCTTTCCTTGTCTGTAAAGGAGTGAACTCCAGGTCTCCATGCCAAGTCCAGGGAACACAAAGGGTCAGTGGGAGGTTCCCAGCACTTGGCGCTTGCAAGGAGCTCAGCCAACAAGTAGGGGGCGGGGGAGGGGACACTGCACGACAGACATGGGCTAGTGGGAGACCTGTCGGCTAGAAGGCATGAGTGGCCACTGGACAAGGACTGTGTCCTGGGAACCTGAAGAATCAAAGAGGCCCAGAGATGACAGAGCCTTGCCCACCGCCACACAGCAGTGAGGGGCCCAGCTGGCTCCACCTCCAGCTCTCTCTTGCTTCTCCTGGTTCTCGAATGGGCATGGAAAGGAGCCTGGGAGTCTCTGCTGGGTTCTCCCCTCCTAACCTGAGGCTTTGAGTCCTCGCGGGGCCCGCCTATGGGATGAGGCTGCCAGGGCGGACTTTCCGACATCCGTCCCTGGCCTATCCCATGAGCCACGCACCCTAAACCACAAGCCCGGAAGTCCTGCCCTCCAGCAAGCCCTGAAGTCTCGTTTCCTCCCCTACCCCTAGGGCCAGTATGACCCGAGTCCCCTTCTATGACCTGTTGTCTGCCCGGAAGAAGAAGATTGTCAGCAAGCAGTGAGCTTACGGAAGGCGGCGCTGGCAACCCCGTAGGACCTGTGGTACCTGGAGACACATCCTCACCCGCTGTGCCTGCTCACAAACTTGCCCCTCCCCATCACTGGAACTGGCTGTGGGAAACATGGAACCTCAGAGAGCACAGAGCTCACGGGGAGCCCCTGGTACCAGCGCTGCCTGCCAGGAAGAACCTCTGAAGCTCTGTCCTGGACTTGCTGTGGCTGAGGAGGAGCCAGCCCATAGCCTATCCTGGCCCACCTTCTCCCTCCCCAGCAGGAGGCTTCCAGCTCTGGACTTTCCTTCGCTTAGACTGGGCCGGGGCCTCCCTGCCAGCGCCAGGTATCAGCAAACACTCACCTTGGAGCCCGAAGCTGCAGACACGCCCCTCTGCTGAATCACAGCCCTCCCCTGGGTCTTAACAAAAATGCATAGTTCGGACAGGAAACATGTCGGCCCAGCGGACTCTGGCTTGGCTTCCTGGGAGAGCTGGGAAACCAGACAGACAGACTGAGCTGGAAGATTCTGAGGTACTGCCAGCACCATTCCTAAGGGCGTTGGCGTGAGAAGATGAGCAAAGGGGACACTCTCAAGGCTGTACCTGTGGCTGGTAGGTTGACCTGCTGCTCGGAAAAATGGGAGAGGAGAATGCTTCAGGCTGTGCCCACCAGGAGGGCTGCTTGGAGGCTACAGAGAGCCAGCTGGTAGCCTAGGACTCACGCTCGGACAGACTCTCACAGATGGCACGTTAGGGGCTGCGGAAGGGGCGCCTGTTCCCGCCTCCCGCCACAGCAAGACCACCTGAGCAATAGGTTCCAGTGCGCCCGCCTGTAAAATGGGAATAGCTAAGTACATATGAAATGCGTAGGCCAGTAGGCCCAGCAAGAAGGTCTAATGGGTAAAATCACGTGCCACCAAGCCTGGGGATCCCAGTTAGATCCCAAGGACACACACAGCAGGTTGCTGTGACCCCGGGGGAGGTCCCACGTGGAGGAGGCTTTTCCCTCAGAGCGCTTGTATCCCCTCTCCTGCCTGGGGAGCCCCCAGGGGGAAATTCCTCAGCAAAGCAGCAAGAAAAAGGGCTCCCCGGGCCCTGTGCGAGCCTGGGCCCTGAGCAAGAGAAGGTGGCTATGCTGCCCTCATCCTCCCTCAGGACCCCACAAGTATACATGTCCCCCGGGGTCAGGAAGAACAGTGTGGTAGGGGGGATGGGACTCCTGTTTCTGGGAGCTGGGGCACAAGTGGACAGAGCCCCTGCTGGACCAAGTTGAGGATTTGGTTGTGAGCTGAGCCCACCTCAGCTGCACCCATTCGGGGGTAAGGGACCCTAAAGTCTTCCTCTGCCTCTGGCATGTGTTTGTGTGCACAAAGGCTGTCCGTCCTTTGTCCCCTCCCCTCTCTCACCCTCGGCTTCTTCCCCAGCACCAAGGTGGTGGGGGGCATCCATTTATTTCCTGTTGTAACACTTAGAAGCAAGAATAAAGCTCACGATCCAACTCACGGACAGCAAGCTATCCTTCTGTGATTGTATCGCCATCCCTGACCCCTCATCCCTTTCCCAGAACCAGGGAGAGGAACTCTGGTGGTGGTGGGGATTGCCACACTGGATGGACATTCCCCAGGAGCTGATTATCACAGTGGGCTTCCTTGGGGCAGGGGTAGGGGCTCAGCTGAGTTGGTTCTGCTATACCCAGGGAAAGACAGAATTTTCCAGGAGTCAGAGCGATCTACAGATAGAACGGCTGACATGGAAGATAGGTAGATTCCACTGCCTCTGGGGGATGTAAGCCCAGGCTGGCTCAGGGACCTGTGAAGGGCAGGACTGTGTAACCTTTGCTAACTGTCTTCCCACAGATGTTTGTAAAGCGCCCCAGCTGTGCCAGGCCCTGCTCCAGGCACTGCCACCTGGCCACCTGGCCACCTGGCCCCATGGTCCAGTGTCCCCTCTTGTCTCCCTCATCCAGCCCCATCCCACCATCAGGGCTCTCCTCCCAGACCCTTGTGGGTGAACTAGCTCATCTTGCCCATATTTTCCTTCTTTTGGCCATGTATGGAGTGCTTACTGTATACCAAGATCTCCACAGCAGAGCCAGAGCTCCACAGACCCCTGTGACCAGTGTCATCCAAGCTGGATGCTGATGAGATGGCTCAGCAGCAAGCTCACGCTGCCTGTAACTCAGAGGATCCAACCTCTTCTTCTGGCCTCCACAGGCACACAGCACACACACACACACACACACACACACACACACAGATACACAGGCACACAGACACACACACATAAAAATACATATAAATAGTATAAATAACAAAAATAAATAATGTTTTAAAAAAGCATGTTGAGTATGGGGGTGCACACCTTTAATCCAGCACTTGGGAGGCAGAGGCAGGTGGATTTCTGTGAGTTCAAGGCCAGCTCGATCTACAGAGTGAGTCTAATGGGAGAGACAGGTGAGAGAGCCAGCACACACTGGCACGTGAAGGGGACAATGCAGAACTGGACTGGGCAGATGAACCATCCAGGAGAGTGCCTAGGCTCAGCAGCCGGGCCTGGATTACAGAGCCACCTCATCCCACCAGACTGTGAGGTCCACACAGGGCTGACTGCACTGCTGAGCACCTGGCACACAATGGGTTCAAAATAATTGTTAGTTTGACAGAAGTTACCTGATTTAAAAAACAAAAACGAAAAAATCTCATAAAAATCAATAGGTTCCAGGGTCTGGGGACTCTGAGACTGTGAAATCAAAAGGACAGATGTTTCTAGGGACAGGAGAGGCCCAGGACCACGTCACACCTCTGTGTTGGGAGGTCCCTCTGACTGTGTTCCTGACCTTTCCAGGGGTGGCGTTCACCCATTTCTGCTACTGTGTGGTGCTAAATCTGGCCAGCAGGGGGCGATCACCACATACAGATGAGTGCTCCCTTCAGAGCCGCAGGGACAGAGCCTGGACCGCCCTGACCAGCACAGAACCTGGTGTGGGCACCGTGAATAGGGAGGCCCCTGATCTATTAGGGCCTGTGTCCTTGAGCAGCCATGGAGGGGCTTCTTCCTCCCGTACAGGGACCACACGTTTCTGCCTCTCTTCCCTTCTTTCTGGTTGTGCACCTCAGAACAGGCTGCTTCCTCTTTGGATTGGATTTTCCTCCCTGAGAAGGCTTTTGAATGGCACTAACCTTTAATGGAGATGTCTACAGACAAGGATGGCTCAGGAATGGTCCCAGCGCAGCCTCCACCCTAGGCTGGGGGTGGGGGTGGGAGGGGTGACGAGCAGGTCTCCGATTGCTGCTTACTCAGAATGCAGGGGCAACAGCCATGAGAGCCTCTCAGAAGGCCTGGGTTCAAGGGCTTGCTCTCTTCATGTCTTAAGTAATTTTCTCAGCGTTGAGAACCTCGGTGTGCCCACCTGTAAAATGGGAATAGCTAAGTATACATGAAATGCTTAGGCCAGCGGGCCCAGCAAGAAGGCCTAATGGGTAAAATCACGTGCCACCAAGCCTGGGGATCCCAGTTAGATCCCAAGGATGCACACGACAGGATAGAACCAATTCCTGAAAGTTGCCCTCTAACCTCTGTATATGCTGTGACACACAGACATGCACACGCGTGCGCAATGCACACACACGCAGCTGAAGACAACGGTGGGCAGCTCTTTGGGGGGGGGGGTGTTACACGCTGTTTGCTGCGTTATCCTCACAAGGCATCCTGCCTACAAGCTGCCACAGAGAGACAGAGCAGATGACGGCCACTGGGGGAGGGGAGGCACACTGAGGAAAGGAGGCAAGCAGGAGGCTTCCTGGGAGAGGCGTCATGACATACAAGCCCAGTAGAGGCCTGGGGTCTTGCAGCCACCATGAAATGTAAGAGACAGGATGAGGTGAGGTGTTCGGGGGAACTTCTCTGGGCCTTAACATGAGCCCCAGTGGGCCCAGAGGGTGCTGGGGGGTGGGGTGGCCAGGGGTCAGAGGTCAGGGCTGAGCTGTGGCGCATGCTGTTCGTCCCTGCATCCGGGCCTGGCAGCTCCTAGCTGCAGGAAGCTCTGAAAGGTTCCAGGCCCGCAGCTGTTGAATGGAGGCCAGCCCAGCACGAGGAGGCCTGGCCTGGCCCAGAACGCCTAGGGAGAGACAGGAAACAGCAAGGGGACCACAGCCAGGAACCTGGGGGCTGGAAGTGTCTGTAGTGACCAGATGTCAGGCAATAGGAGATGGGGCAGGCAGCCTGGAGTTGGAGGCAGGTATGAGAGACCTGGAGAAGTTGATTTATTAGGGACGATGAAAGGAGCTAAATATGTTTGCCACTCAGCGATGACTCAGGCATTCCCCAGGGGTTCGAGAGAATGAGCATCAAAGAACCAAAGGCAAGCTTCCTCCTACCAGGGCACTGCCAAGCCCCTCCTCCTCAGCGGTAGGAAACAGCCAATGTGGCCCACAAGGCCCATGCACCAGATGACCTCACCCAGAATGGTTGAAGAAAGACCCCTCAGAGAGAGACAGTTAGGTCCAATCCTGGATCTTCTCCAAGTTGCTGTGTAATCTCAGTACAGTGGCTGACCCTCTCTGTACCCACATTCACCAGAAAGCACTTGTCCTCTATGGACCAGGCCCTGCCTCCTTCTCTCATCCTATTGGCTTCTCCCAGAGGCTGAGTGATGCCTTCTTTACTAGAAAAGCTCCCAACTGCTCTCCAGGAGAGAAGCCAGACTCCACAGAACCTGGGAAAGGGAGGGCAGCTCTTCACTGCCAAGCTGCAGGCCTGGGGCTGGGACCCAGGATGAATTGTGTGCAGGCCAGAGATCACGGAGACAGAGGAGCAAGGAGGGAGCAGGGAGGGGTTGGGGGGTAGAGCAGCCTGAAGTGTGGGAATCCCCCAAACAGCAGCTGGACGCATGTGGGAAGTGGGGCGCAGTCTGGTGGATGGGAGGGGGTGTCAGAAATCTACTTTAGAACAACAGGACATAGAAAGTAGCAGAGAGGCAGGCCTAACCAGACAGGCACAGCCTTGGACTGTGGGCCGTGTCCAGAGCCTCTCTGGGGTTTCTCCATCAGGATGGATTAAGGAAGACACAAGGGTCTGACAAGTACATGAGGGAGATGGTGGTTAGACGGCAGCAACATGGATGTCAGGGCAGCCTCCAGTCTCCCCAACAGCCTGGTGCAAGGCCAGGCTTAGGATGAGCAGGTCACAGTCAGTGGAGGGGGCTGCAGGAGCCTGACTGCGGAGCTCACCTAGACTAGACAGGAAGCCCCCTCTTTCCCCTGCCATACCTGCCTTTTTCCCTCCCTCTAATCCCCTCCTGATCCTGTCCTGTCTCCCTTTCCTGGTCATCCTGCCCTGGCCCAACAGCATATTATAAGTAATTGCAGAGCTGAGTTCAAACCCTGACTTCCCCGTGGGCAGCTGTGTGGCTCTGGGCCAGATGTCTTGCTGTCTCTGGACCTTGTACACTGACCTCCTGCACTGGAAGCTGAGGTTCCCAGCTATAAGCCTGGGACCCAGCATCTCCAGATGACTTAGTGGCTTAGGAGAGCCCCAAGGAAGAAGCAGAATTTCTATGGGTCTCAGGTTCCCTGGACCTTCCCAAGCCCCCTGGCTTCTCCTAAGGTAAAGGCCACAGTGGAGCAGCCTTAACAACCATGCCACTAAGGTCCCTAGAGGTGTCCCTCACTTTTCTTTTTCTTGGGAGAATTATTTGGGGTTTTGGTTGCTTGAAATGGGGTCTCACCGTTCTAAGCGAGCCTAGAACTAGGGCAGTCCTCCTGCCTCAGCTTCTTTTGAGACAGGGTCTCACTCTGTAACCCACGCCAGCCTCAACTCATGGTGATCCCTTCCTTGGCCTCTGAAATTCTAGGGTTCCCAGGGTGCACCCCTTAATTTCTCAAAGACTTGGGGTTCCACATTAGGCACAGAGAGTCCAGCCCACCCCACCTGGGCCAGCACTGAGGCCACAGTGCCATATCAAAATGCCAAGCACATATCAGCCGCCCCACGGGGGTCTCTGCCAGCATGTCCTGTGGCTCCCTGTGCCACAGAGGGCCAGCCAGCTCTTCCCAAACACTCCAGCCTTTCTCCTGTCTTAATTTTGTGGATCCAGCTCAGCTTTTGGTGCAGAAGCTGAGAAGGTAGTGGGGATCTGGGGCTGCCCTCAAGGAGGCTGTAAGCGCTGCGCAGCTGGCTCTGAGACACTCCATCCCAGATCCTGTTTAATCACAGGTCCATCCAGGGATGTCTCAGCCAGTGACAACAGCCTGCCTACTTACCTGTCTTCCTTCCTTCTTCCTTCCTTCCTTCCTTCCTTCCTTCCTTCCTTCCTTCCTTCCTTCCTTCCTTCTGCAGAAAAGGAAGGCTCACCATTGTTAAGGCACCAACAGAGAGCCCCTCCCCCACAGGCAGACAATTCCTCCATCTTCTGGATGTATGTCATCAGTTCCTCCCAGCAGCCCACAGGAAGCCCACCATCATCTAATAGGTAAGTGTTGGGAGTGGGTTGCCTATCACAATGGTGC